GGGGCGGGGGCGGGGGGGGCGGCGGGGGCAGCGGCAGATCTCGCCCCTCAAAAATCACTTCCCCTGGCGGAGAGGCCACTCGCCCGCAATTATCCGCGGCCCCCGCGGCCTCGGCTTAGCCCTGCGCGCCGTAAATATGCGCACGTCTGCTCTCACACTCACAACCATACGAGGCTGAAAGGTTTACGAGTCTCAAGCGCGGAAGTAAGTAAAGAAAGCCATTAAATCATAACAAAAAAAAAAAAAAAAAAAAAAAAACCCGCTCGGGTTCAGATCTGCAAATGTCACAGCGCCTCCACAGGTCCGAGTTCATTAACAAGTCATTAATTATCGAAGTAAATAAACTCATAAATAAAACTAATAGATTAAAAAAACAAAACAAACCAACAAACAAAGACAGGAGTTCCATCCAGGGTTTATTTACATTTTATTGAACATTTTCTCGTAGGTAGTTTATATATTTATGACAGGAGAGACACGAACAGAAAAACCAACCATGTAAAAATCCGTAAAATATACAACGTTCTTCAACGTTTTTAGGTAGTTTGGCGAATAAACATCAGTAGGTCAACCCTCCCCCCCTCCCTCCCCCTNNACCCCCCCCCCCCCCCCCCCCCCCCCCAGGTGGTGTTTTTGTCCTGTACACTTTAAATAGGAACACTGTATGACGCACACCTACTAATATATAAATACAATATATATACATACATATATATGTATATATATGTAAATATACTGTATATATATATATATGTTTACAAATGGTCTTCATTTGGTTGAAGGGTCGGCTGTTCGAGTCCTAAAGCTTCACAGCAAGTGCCTGACAGAGAGCTAGAAAGTACGTCTGACGTCAAATAAAAAATAAAATTATAAAAAAATAAAACTACGTCGAACAGGAAGTTAGATTTTTGTTGTTTTCTTTTCTTTTGTTTTTTTGTTTTTTTTTTTCGTGGAATGCAACGAGAAAACCTTGTTTTCCAGCGGGCTCCAAACGCCACCGTCAGGTCAGGAGTTGGTCGGTGGAATTCTTTTCTTTTTTTTTCCTCCTCATCCACTTTTCCTCTTCTTTTATTCATGTATTTTTCTTTCATCTCTCCCCGGTTTCTATTCTTTTCTTCTTCTTCTTCCTGTTTCTTCTCCTCGCTCCGGTGGTTTGTTCCCCCGTCGGATCGTTTCCCCGTGTTTTCAGGAGGAGAGGAGGAGCCGGCTCAAAGGAACTCTTCGGGTACAATTGTTAGAGGTGGGTGACGGTGTTAGTGGGAGAGTGGGGGAGAATTCTCCTCTCCCTCTTTATTCACCCTTCAAAAGAAAAGAAAAGTTTCACACCAGACTCGACCGGTTGAACTTTGAAGCCGGGGAAGTGGAAGCGAACCCGCAGTCTTGTCCTCCTCCTCACCCTCCTCCTCCTCACCCGCTCCTGTCTTTCTTCCATCATCAGTTTCTCTCTCCTTCCTCTCTCAGTCAGTCCGTCCGTTTGTCCTCCTCCTCTACACCGTTCCCGGTGGAGGAGGACGATGAAGAGGAGGATGAGGAGGAGGAAGAAGACGAGGAGTTGATGAGCTTGTTCTCCTTCTTCCACTTCATCCTGCGGTTCTGGAACCAGATCTTGATCTGCCGCTCGGTCAGACACAGGGCGTGCGCGATCTCGATGCGCCGCCGCCGCGTCAGGTACCGGTTGAAGTGGAACTCCTTCTCCAGCTCCAGGGTCTGGTAGCGGGTGTAGGTCTGACGGCCGCGTCTGCCGGGGTTCCCGAAGTTTCCTGAGGAGAGAAAAACTGTTTCAATGTTTACATTTAGATTTAAAACAGTCACAAAAAAAAGAACAACAACTTTTTTATTCAACTGTAAACACGTGCATCCGGTTCTGTTCTATTTTAATCTGAAGAACAGAACGTGTTAAACATGTTCTGTTCTCGTGTGTAGTAAATTGATTACAATTATTATAGCATTTATTTATTTTATTCTATATATTTTATTCATTTCTGTTCACGGATCAAATTCACGCCTCGCTTCGAACAAACGAATGAATTAAACCGATATTATTATGAAAATAAAAAATAAAAATAAACACATGCAGCTGTAAACTTAAATATACACGGGACTAAACATCCGTTCTTCCAGTCTAGGAGTGAATACAACAACACGATTTATATCCACGTTTTCTACGTCACGCTGTGTAAATAATGACGACAATAAACCGTTTTATCGTCGGTTTTTAGTCAGTATTTTTTTTTTAACTACGGTGCAGATCACGATCCAGTCTCTGCTTCATCTCCAGCAGCACCGGCTACTGTACAGAGAGATGTCCAAACACGGGGAAGTGAACACGACAACAGTGCTGTACTGCTGCTCCTCTCCTCTCCCCTCTTTTCCTCCCCTCTTTTCCTCCCCTCTTTTCCTCCCCTCTTTGCCTCCCCTCTTTTCCTCCCCTCTTTTCCTCCCCTCTTTGCCTCCCCAGCTGCCATCTACGGTCTTTCACTGTCATTTACAGCCTGCGTTTTATTCCCCGTGTCTCCCTCGGTCACGGAGCCTGTTTTCCACCTCATCTGTCCTGCAGGGATTTACACAACAGCAGCAGCCTTGTCTTAACCACCGTCAGGGCTGCGACATCTCAACAAAACACTGCCCTTTTTTTTTCTTTTCTTTTTTTTCTTTTCTGGCTCTCAGCAGCAGCAGCAGCAGCAGCTAAACGGATTTCATACTTTCTTCTTTCTCGGTTATTTTTAGCAAAAAGTCGAACCCGAATAAAAATAATAATAATAATAATAGTAATAATAACATTTAAAGCCGCGTCTCACTTCCCGTGTATGAGAAGTTTCTCTGCAGCCCTAAGAGTCATAACATCTTAATCTGTTAGGTTATGAATAAACCCACGCGTGTGCACGGTGAACAGCACATGATGGGAGATTATGGAGGAGGAGGAGGAGGAGGAGGAGGAGGAGACGCCGCGGCAGCTGGAGCTGTCAGGCCGTTTCTAGTCGTGTCAACAGTTTACAACAAAATACGGGAAAGCGTTCGTGACGCCGCGGTGTCAGGTGCAGGGGCACGGGCCACATGTTTGACTCCGCTGCTCAGGATTTGGACAAATACCAGGTCACAAGTTAAATAAAGCTAACGGTAGAAAACAATACACGGGGGGGAGGAAGGGGTGAGGGGGGGGGGCGATGCTGTAAGTCGGTGCATGCATGAACTTTCTTCGCCTTATCTGGATTCTTATCTGTTGTTTTGAACCACAACACAGACTTCCTTCTACTACGTGCGCGGCAGCAGCGGCAGCAGCAGCGGCGGGCAGCGGGTCAGAGGAGCCACAACCCAAACAAACACCCTTTTTATGACGGATAATAAAATAGAAAAACACATCACATGACTGACTGACTGACTGACTGACCGGCCAACAAACGGGGATCATAAAGCAGCTACTGGGAGAAGGAGTGCAGGAGGAGGAGGAGGAGGAGGACGGGGACGTGCAGGGAAGAGCGCTGACAGCGGAAACAAACGTCAGTTTTATGACGGGGATCATAAAATATGCACGAAAGTGAAGGAAGAGGAAGAAGGAGGAGAGACAGAAGGAGAGCGCGCTCACCGTTACAGGCGTTCATCCGCTGCATCCACGGGTAAATGGGCACCGACGTCCCCTTGTCGTCCATGCCGTCACAGAACAGACCTTTTCCGCTCAGACCCGCGCACTCGGCTTTACGGTGCATGGCGTCGTGATGGCTCAGCGCAAGCTGGTGCTCCTCCAGGCTGCAGGCGTGCTC